GGGGACGAGGCGGGCGTATGTAAGGATAGGCGTGGTGGGAAATGGGTCGTGGTGGGCCCTCCAACCGAGTGTTTCAGGGTTATAATGAGGCTTTGGAGGCCCGCACCGGAGGCAGCATGCACCCTTGGCTTGGAGCGTATCCTCTCGAGCAGGACTTCTCTCGGAGGATTTAGGTTGTTTAGGTGGAGCCACTCATTCATGTGTTTTGCTTGTTCATGCACTGAAGTTTACTAGGAATGTTGTTAATGCTTACTTTTAAGGCAAGTTGTCCAGTTATCTGCTTAAGTTATTTGGAATTCCCTGATTGCTATTTCATTTATTTCTCACCAAAACAAAACTAGATCCGTTCGGGCGAGGAGCACAACAGTTGCCGCGAGGACAAGATCAGCAGCTTACCTAACGAGATATTAATCTTGATCATTGACAAGCTAGATGCACGGACAGCGACAGCCACCACTATCCTTTCGAAGCAATGGCGGGATCTCTATACACACTCGCACATAGGTTATGACCTTACGGTTGATGACATTCTCCCTCCACGGTACCACAGACTGAAGCAAATTGTGGTGGAGGCTAAGGCAAGGTATGAGGCAGAGAAGAATGCACTGAAGTCGGACGGCAGTTATGCTTCTAGAGACTGGTTATATTCCTTCAAAGACTGGAGGTGGAAAGTCTGTCAGCTAACACCCATCCTGCAACGTTATGAGCGTTGGGCCATGCGACGCTATGTTAAACGGGTGAATGCATTCCTTCTGGCCCCCGACAACGTTCAGCAACGTTCTATCCAGAAGCTGAGGCTTCAAGCCTGTGGGAGGAGCGATTTCACAGATCAATGGATCACGGAAGCGATTGGCAGATGGGGCGTTGAAGAATTGGAGCTTGTCATTGACAACTCTTCCTGGCGCTATGACTTCCGGCTGTTGGATGGATGCAAGAATGTGCGACTGAAACGGCTTGTGCTATCCAATTGTTATCATCGTTTTGCACCCGCCCCCTTGACGTTTCAGAGCCTCACATCACTTACTCTGTGCAAAGAAAGTTTACGCATGCTACATGTTCTTGATATTCTGGGAAACTGCGGGCAGCTGGTGGATTTGAGGCTGAAAGATTCTGGCTGTCGCCAACCTGCTTTTAATATCGTTATTCCCAACTCACAGTTAAAGAGTCTGCAATTGGACAACTACAACACTGTGAGTGTCCATCTGGCTTTGGTGCCTTGTCTTGAAACATTTGCTTGTCGTGGTCAGCCAACTATAATACGCTATGGCGATGTGCCTCGACTTAGGCATGTGAGTCTGAACTTCTTGCAAACTGGAGATAATGGCAAGGATGATTCCTCTGGTAGCAACAGGACATATCAACTAAGCAAATTCTTTACAGGGGCACCGCCATCTCTAGAGTACCTTGTTCTGCAGTTAAGAGGGCGTCAGGTGAGTAGCTTTTTCTGAAATGATCCTTTTTTCTATTGGTCATAACGTCGCATCGCTACATAAGACAGTGCTAAATTATCACTTCATATATGCAGATGTGGATCGAACCAACCGCCATTCCTGTCCGGCTCAATCATCTCAATAAACTATTCATTGCAAACGTGCCAATGAACTGGGATACAATCTGGATTCTCTGCCTAGTTGGTGCCGCACCTGCCTTGGAGTCGCTCCATGTTCATGTACGTTCATCCTACGATTTTGTCAAGCACTGCACCTTTTTTTGTTTCTGGGAGATTCCTGAAACTCTGAAATCTGAATGCAGTTTGACAACAACTCAGAGAAGGCGAGTGCCGCAGGATCACTAGATGTGCAGGTGGAACACCATCCGTACCACCATCACCTGAAAGAACTCGTGGTCATTGGCTTCAACGGGGCGGTGTGGCAGACTGGCTTTGTGAAGCAGATCATCCAGGCATCGCCGATGCTGGAGCGCGCCCACCTGCTGGACGGGCACGTCGTGGAGGACGAAGATCGGGAGCTCGTTGGCCTGGAGATAGTCCGGCGCCGCCGGGAGTGGCACGAGTGTGAGAGATCGGAGGTGCTCAGAGTCCTGGCAGACGGGATCAGTTCGCCGCATCTTGAAATAGTTTTGGAATGACTTTTGGTAAAAGTCTGCTGTGCCGGTAGCCCCCTTCCGTTTGTAGGGCTTGTAGCTGTATGCCAGTGCCCAATGATTATCTCATGCTGGCTCTAAAGATAGAATAACATGTGTTTGTATGTGGTATCTTGTTCCTTACTTTTGCTTGATTATCCAAAGGACGGATGCGCTAGCTGTTGAGATGATTGATCACCGTACAATCTCCAGCACTAGCTACCGTGTGGTATTTACTTGCCGACCACCAGCTTCGACTTAGAGGTGCGTACGCGTGAATTTCGTTCTCGATTGAGATTAGTATCTTAGATTGTACGGAGATTGGCAGTAGGAGTAGCACGGTGTTTTGCGATTTTCTTCCCGGATACGGATTGCATTGTTTACAAGAGAAGGCAAGGGAGGGCGGAAGGAATCAATGTTGTCTTCTTCTAGTAGTACTAGTAAGTTTGCACGTGCAACGTACGTCTCGACCAATAATCTTTTCAATGATGATACATCTACTACAAATCGCACACATTTAATAAAGATCGAATGGAAAACTGAAGGAGCTTGAAAATAAGAGCCACCATATACGACTCGCTAAGATAATTTCAGTTGGCTAACAATAAAAAGGAGTAGTACCCGGTATTAGATCAATGGAGAGTATAAGGTCTATTGCCCATAGAACAGTCTATGAGCAGAAAATAAATGTGACATGAATGGATAAAAAATGATACAAAATAGAACCACGAATAAACGGAGCATAAATATAGAGAAAATGGAACATAATGTACTGGACAACAATGCCCGACCATGTTATGATTTTTTTAGAGTAACTTAAAACTTGATTGTGAGAGATTACATATTTCAAGTCAATATAATGCGTAAATATACGTTGGAAAGGGAATATAACAAACAAATTGTACAACGCTATCTTGTCTCCACTGAAATATCTTAACCGAGATTATAGTTCTCTCTTTTCTTCATCGAGATTCATCACTGAAAAGGTATTCAAATTGGTCATTTTTCTTTTCTTTTTGAAGTGTAAAAAAAAGAGCAATAATACTTCTGCAGTAAATCACTAAAGAGGAAAGACGTGTAAGAAAAGGACAACAAAAAAAAACCAAGATTACATTCATTATATGACATGGTACCATACTTTCCGAGGTAGGAGAAATTTCATAAGCTAATGAGCTGAAACTATAGGTACTGATTGAAATAAGATGTGCCTAATACAGCAACCCTAAATTTGGCCAACATGAAGATTTGTACACAAGGCCCACACTCCTTTCTGGAAAACGGGAAAGCCTCAATTCATCTAAACAAATAGGCAAGTCTCCCATCTACAACCAATCCTAGCAAATAGATAGCCAAGTTAGCTGAATGTAAACAACAGATAGGGGAAGACTTGTATGAAAACTAAGTTCATGTAAACAAAATGACAAAATCTAGAGGTTTTGGGCACTTCTACCAAAGCCAAGACACCACTGGCATCCAACTTGAACAAACTGTATCGTTCGTGTATAGAAAAATCTAATCTTCATTGACAAGAAAAGGTAGCATTCAAGCATACGAAACCTCCCGAAGAACAAGATACATAATTGTATGTCATCATCTGACTGAACTCATCCTACAAAGCACAAAAAATAAATAAACATAACATATGGTTTCATGAAAATGACAGTTGATAGTACTACCATAGATAGAGGACCAAATTATTAAATTATGGAAGTTCATTCGTGCGCAGATAGACTGACCACAAAAGATTTTATGTGTCCGAAAAATATGGACAGTAGCTGCCAAGATAAAGGGAAGCCAAAAATTGATGACATGCACCTTCATAAGAATCTGCATATGTACAACACTCCCAGAAGTCTGGAAAATCTAGCATGTCATTAGCCTTGAAATGATTGTAACTGCATCAAACTGAAATACAGTTGCAACCACAGAATATTCCAAGAATTAAGTCAATACACTGTGCCACTGTTAAAGAAAAAGTTTACCAGTATAAGAATAACACACATTTTGTAACCTGGTATAAGAAGACCTTGTGGTAAAATGATAAGAGAAAAAACAAGCACCTTATATTTTCCTTGGAAACAAATATATCTTGTGTAGAACTTCATCACATGGTCTATCTTTTCTCATAAAGATGGTAATAGGTTTGCGGCAATATGTTTGGCGACAACTACTTTCACCATCTATGTGGTCTCAGAGTAGTTTATCCTACAAGAAAGGAGAACGCATGATGAGAGATTACAATCATGTATGCTGCAAAAAAACAAAAAGAGAGGTTACAATCAGTTCATAGCCCATCTATGTGGTCACGCAAGTTATGCTACAGAACTGCACAAAGTATTCTTTAATTTGGTGTTACAATATATATATATATATATATATATATATATATATATATATATATATATATATATATGTCATCCAAAATACATTTACTAAAAACAGGCCAGCGCAATTCTTTTACTTGAAACGTCATAATATGTAATTGCATGTTTCAAACAAACATATTAACATAATCTTACCCATTAGCAAGGCTCCAACAACTGGATCGAATAGAAAAAAAGTAGTAAAATACATTTGTTTAGAAGGCTCATCATCCTTCTAAGATATTGGCAATGGCAGCATGTTATATTCCCTCCTGACATATGGTTACTCTGGACGCAGCTTCGGTGGCTTAAAAGCACCTGCCTTTGGGTCACTGACATGTGGGCCAGCCATCCGTTGGGCCCACATGTCGTATACACAAAGGCAGATGCCTTAAGGCATCGAAGCATGATCCAGTTGCTCTGTAAGAAAGATAGAATCGAAGTCAATTGTATGAATCCAGGAGATTATGATTAATCTATATATATATGTATTTAGGAAAATAGTGAAGGGACCCGAGCGCCCCAATCTACATGCCCGTCACGGACAGACTCTATGGCCTGGATTTCGACACCTTCGAGATGCTCCATCCACTTCCGCCGCTCGTCGACCCCAACTGCGGCATCGATGTGCCCAAGTGGCGGCCGTGGCGCCGCCTCCCGCCGCCACCTTTCAAGCGCGAGCACGTTACCTCCCACGTTGTGCACCATGACGGACAGACCATCTTCATCAGCGTCGACGACAAGACCGGCGCCACGTTCAGCTTCGATACCACGGCGAGCTCCCCACGTTGGATGCGCAGCGGCAGCTGGAAGCTGCCCTTCAAGGGCCCTGCACACTATGACGGTGACTTGGACGGAGTGTTTGACAAAAAAAACTATCACAATTGGGGTTCGCGTCCCACAGAACTACCACTTTTAAAAAATGACTGATAACTACAAAAAAATTGAAATCTTGTGACTAAAAACTACCACTTCCGAAAAATAGCTAGTTTAGAATATTTAAACGTATTTATGACATGCGGGGCTCGTCTGTCAGGGCTGACGTGGCGGCAAAGTCAACTCCGTTTATTTTTTACCGTTAAGTTGACCGTTATGACAGGTGGGCCCCACACGTCAGTATCTATCTTCTTCCTCCTCCTATATCTCTCTTAGGCATTTCAACAAACACCTCGTCGGCAAGCACTGTTGTTGTCCAGGTCGCACACCTAGAGGCTGCCGAAGTCGACGATGATGGAGGCAGCACCGCAGCAGGCGCGAGACGGCGAGTCGTCCACCAGGCGTCCTGCAGCCTTCCTGCTCATCCCGTTCCTCTCGCGCGCGAGCCCGAGGAGATCCCCGTCGTGACCCCGTCACCTCCTCATCTCCAGCAGCCGACCTCCTCAGATCCTCCGACCCTTCAGGAACCCTCTCCGGCGAGCTCCGTTGACCAGCGCCACCAGGCCATGCCTCCTCCCTCATCCCTCTGTTTCTCCTTCCCTCCTCTCTCCATCTCTCTCTCTCTCTCTGACCTCCCCGCTCTTCTCCTCTTGTCCTGGACAGGAGCAACGGCGCCATGGCCGCCGCCCGTGCAAGTCCCTCCGCCGCCGGGATCTGCTCGCCTCTCCGCCTCCTGCCGCCCCCGTTGCCATTGGACTGCGCCGCTGCAGGCGGGTGCAGTGCGAGGCAGAGCCGACCCGGAGCTGGTTCACCCGGCGCTCGTGTTGAGGTCCGACGTGGTGTAAAGCGAGCATGCAGCCGGAGCTCCCCTGCTTCCGTCTCATGCACAAGAGGTGTTTGTTGAAATGCCAAAGAGAGAGAGAAGGGAAGGAAGAAGAAGGTTGAGGATGACGTGTGGGTCCCATCTGTCATAACGGTTAACTTGACGATCAAAATACACAGAGTTGACTTTTTCTCCATGTCAGTCCTGACAGACGGGTCCCCCATGTCATAAACACATTTAAATCTTCTAAACTGGCTATTTTTCGAAAGTGGTAGTTTTTAGTCACGAGATTTTAATTTTTTGATAGTTATTAGTCACTTTTTTGAAAGTGATAGTTCTGTGGGACGTGAACCCTAATTATGGTAGTTTTTTTATCAAACACTCAACTTGGACGCCTGGGTTGGCCTCGCCCGAGACCCGGACATGCTCGGCCACCTCTGCTCTCGTGACGTGCCGTCTACTGATGATGACAACGGCTGTACACAGCCCCCGGCCTGGAAGCTCAGCAAGGAGAAGCTCTTCTGTGAGGACCTAGACGAGAAGCACATCGGCGCGGCCCTTGTTTGCCTGGGCACGGGCTGTAGAAGCAAGTTCTGTCTCGTGCAGTGTCTCTCCATGGACGACCGTCAGGAGGGCGTGTACAAGGAGTACCTGCCCGAGCTCGAGCGCTACCTGCTTCGACTGACCACGTTCTCGCTGGTGTATGACAAGAGTGGTGACCTGCGCACCGCTGCGCTCCGCCGCGTTCGATCCTTTGAACTGCCCAAGCCAGTGAGGGAATACTCTGCCTTCTTGGTGGATCCTGTGGCATTCTGGATGTAAACCAACAGCTTCTGTCTTCGTCAATGCTACTCTTTGGCTAAGTGGGCAGTGAAGCCTTGGTTAATATGGGGGCACAGTATCATTGATTTCTCACTCAGGTGTTAATTGCAGATATTCAGATT